TTGTATGCACATACAACCTTCTTTTGAAATGTGGTAAATCAAATGAAAATTTATTTGCAACATATAGCAATTAGTTCTAGGAAATGCTTATCCAGAAGTGTCCTTCAATTATAGTACTAAGAACATTTTATATGTAATGGGGGGGGAAAATCAGGTAAATTATCTACATTCATATGCAACACAATATTGGACATGGTGATTGTACACCTCAAAACAGATAAGTCAATTCTGAGCAAATCTCAATATTTTCTGTTTCAACATTTTCTCAGTTTCAATATAGACACGCATTTCCTTAGCACCTGCAAATTCTAATCCTTCGGACTTCAAATTTTTCTTCTGAAAATTGTACTAGAACCATAAATTCTTGGATTAACTTTTATAATAGTATAGTAAAATTAATAGTAATTTTATTGTAATAGTTGTTTGCATTGACTACATAATCGTTTTGTTTATAATTGAGAGTTGATTATCCAAGAACATCAAATAAATAAAAACAATGCAACGATATGCTTGTTAACTTATTTTAACTTGTATTCTTTTTTGCATACTTGTAACTCCCTTTATTATTTAGCATCAACTGTGCCTTTAGTAGATAACATGACCATATGAATAAAGTATTAAAATTCTCCTCTTAAGGAGTTTATAATGTCTTCCATTGTAGGAAAAATATGTTATTCTTCTGAACACAAGAATTACATTCATACAATACACCTAACTATAGTGCAGATAATTCTCTTTTAATCTTTCTTTATTGTGGTCCAGAATAGGGGTCCTCAGCCTTTCGGACCTCAGGGACCACTAAATTCATAATTTTAAATCCCGCAGATCACTAATATGAATCCAGTGCATCGTTCATTGAAATACCTGGACTCCCAGTGATGGGATGGGGTCCTTCAGGCACTTCGCTTGGCTGCCTATTTCTGCAACCTTAAACATTCATTGGACCTGTTTTCCACAAAAAACAAAAAAGACAGGATCTTTCATCTCTCTTTCTCTCAGGATCTCTCTCTCTCTCTCATCTCTCTCTTTCTCTCTCATCTCTCTTATTCTTTCTCATCTCTCTTTCTTATCTTTCTCTCATCTCTCACATCTCTTTCTCTCTGTTACTGTCTCATCTTTCTCTCTCTCTCATCTCTCTCTCTCTCTCTCATGTCTTTCTCTCTCTCTCTCTCTCATTTCTCTTTCTCTGTTTCTCTCTCTCTCATCTCTCTCTCATCTCTCTCTCATCTCTCTCAGTGGGGCCAGCCAGTGCTTTGGGGCAGAGAGGAAGTTCCATGTCTCCCAGTCATGCAGCACTAACAAGGACTGGAAGAAATGCTCATGAGATCAGCAAGAGATGAAGCTTCGCTCCTGCTTTGCAATATGGAGCAAATCTCCACCCCTCCACCCTTCCCTTCTCAGGCCAGGTGAGGAGTGAGTGGGAGGGAAGGGCGAGGGATGGGGCCAGCCAGTGGTTGGTTTAGCCAACAGGAAGCCATGCCTGGGTGAAGAAAGAGCCGCAGGTTGCCAATACCTGTTGCTTCAGCCTGCCTGCGCCGCCATCCCCACCCCTTCTTGCACAACAGCACTCATTCCAGCCAGCAAGGGCTATGCTACTTCTTACATCTTTCACCTCTTGCAAAGTTGCAAGTTGCACACTCTACGGCGGTGATTTCCAGCCTTACCACAAGCTGCCTGGCCAGTCCCATAATCCAGAGCTCTAGTCGCAGGACTGGCACATTGGTCATTCTGGAGCAGCTCTTCCACCTGGGTGTGCCACGGACCACCAAAATTTTCTCGTGGACCACTGTGGTCCGCGGACCACTGGTTGGGGACCTCTGGTCCGGAAGACTCAACTGTAGTCTTCCAGATTACATCTGAGTGCAGAATTTCTATTTTAGGTTGTTTGCAGTTGTTAATATGTGATCATTTGACTGTGTCTGTGCATGCATATGTGCACATGCACAAAGCACTGAAACCCTATGGACATGTCAAAAGTAACTGTTGGAGAATTGGTTGTAACTTTGAATAGTTATTAAGTGACCAGTCAGTAAGTGATGATTACTTATAAACTGTGTTAATCTATGATTATGTGCAATCAAATCTGTCATAACCATATAAATAGACCTTCTGCATAATCTGTCCTAGCTTGATTCTTTTTCCAACAATGCATCAATCATTCCTATAATTAAGCCCATCCAGCTTACTATTATCTTTTCTTACTATTATCTTTTCTTTCCTTCCAATTTACTGAGCATCATGGATTTCTCAAGAGTTAAGTAATTGCATACGTCCAAAATGGGACAGATTTGAGCCTGCTTATTCATTTCTTGAAAAAGGACTGTGAATTGATTTGTTCCATGATTCATTTTTTAATTTCTGGGTTTATCCTTAGCATTCTCAGCAGTCTTTCCCAGTATTATACTTCAAAAGTGTGAGTGCACTTTCTCTCCTATTTTTCGAAGTCCAACTTTCATTTCCATGTCACAAATTTGCTTGCACAAATCTGATCTTTGTATGTATTGACACATCACAGCTTCTAAATATATTTTCTAAGATGTGTTGCTATTTTACTAAGTATGGGTCTGCAGAATATTTCTTGATTGCCAGTGCCTTTAATGTAGACAGTCAGTCCTAAAAGACAGAAGTTATAAACCAATATCTTCATTTATTATTATGTACATAGGTAGAGTTTGGGTGCTAAACCTATGGCCATTAATTTGGTTTTCTCTATATTTCATCTCAGAGCCATTTTTTATTCTTTATTGGTCAAGTGTGATTGGACACACAAGGAATTTGTCTTGGTGCAGATGCTCTCAGTGTACCTAAAAGAAAAGATACATTCATCAAGAGTCAAGATCACAAGGTACACTTAATAATAGTCATAGGGTACAATAAGCAATCAAATCATACTAGGAAACAGTCAATATAAATCATAAGGATACAAGAGACAAAGTTACAATCATACAGTCACAAGTGGGAGGGGATGGGTGATAAGGAGTGATGAGAAGATTAATAGTAATAGTAGTGCAGACTTCGTAAATAGTTGGACAGTGTTGAGGGAATCATGTTTAGTAGAGTGATGGCGTTGAGGAAAAAACTGTCCTTGGGTCTAGTTGTTCTGGTGTATAGTGCTCTATAGTGTCATTTTGAGAGTAGGAGTTAAAACAGTTTATGTCCAGGATGTGAGGGGTCCATAAATATTTTCACAGCCCTCTTTTTGACTCGTGCAGTATACAGGTCCTCAATGGAAGGCAGGTTGGTAATAATTGTTTTTTTCTGCAGTCCAAATTACTCTCTGAAGTCTGTGTTTGTCTTGTTGGGTTGCAGAACCAAATCAGTTATAGAGGTGCAGATGACAGACTTAATAATTCCTCTGTAGAACTGTGTCAGCAGCTCCTTGGGCAGTTTGAGCTTTTTGAGTTGGCACTGAAGGAACATTCTTTGTTATGCTTTTTTGATGACATTTTTGATGTTGTGTCCATTTTTGGTCTTGTGATATGATAGAACCTAGAAATTTGACTTTAATGGTTAATTTGATATATCATGGTTCACTGAAAATTTATGTCCTGTAAAAAAAAGCTAGTAGTCTTCTGAATAAAAATACAGGCAGTCCTTGACTTACAACAGTTCATTTAGTGACTGTTCTGAATAAAAATACAGGCAGTCCTTGACTTACAACAGTTCATTTAGTGACTGTTCAAAATTATAATAGCACTGAAAAAAGTGACATGACCATTTTTCACACTTAAAGACTGCTGCAACATCCCAGTCACGTGATCAAAATTTTGATGCATCTGACTCATGATGGTTGCAGTATCCTGGGGGTCATGTGATCACCTTTTGCAACCTTCTGAAAAGCAAAGTCAATGGATGAGTCAGATTCATTTAATAATTGTGTTAGTAACTTAACAGTAGTGATTCACTTAACTGTGGCACAAAAAGTTGTAAAATGGGGCAAAATTCACTTATCAAATGTTTCATCTATTAACAAAAAAATTGGATTCAATTGTGGTCGTAAGTCGAGTGTTACCTGTACTTGATAAAATATGTTAGTGCCAATCAGCCCAAATTACTTACTCCAAAGTACAATTCTCTCCAAGGCATGGGAGGCTGAGAGTTTAATGAGTGCACAAGGCAATCGTTATCTATTTTTATGAAAAAATGTGGCTCACGCTATACATGCTATACATTATAGCAGTTGTAGCCTAAGTTTCTATGGCACAGGAAATTCTAAGTTCAAGATAATTTCCGTTTTTTGGTCTATATAACATGATTTGCAGTTGAATTTGAAAACAAAAGCACCACCCCCTACTAATATTTCTTGATTTAATATATGTATTAAATATCCACGGATGCAATATAATTCTGTTCGAAATTAGTGAAATATGTTGGGCAATTCGCTCGACAACGCTTTGCCTACATCCGTTTCGTTATTGGAGCAAACAGCAACTCTCCGAGTGGGCGGTGACTGCAAGAAGGAGACGGCGGGAGCTGGGCACTGAGCCCGATCACGAAGCGCGCTCACTGACACTTGCGCGCGTGTAAAAAAAAAAAAAAGCGTACCAGTTATTGAGACCGTTAACGGTAGCCTGACTTAAAGAGCTGATTTGGGCAAATACTCCGCTAGGACACTTATTCCTTCTGTTTAGACGGGGATTGAATTTTCTTTTTCCGATCGCACCCCAATAAGGAAGACTTTTCACGCTTCAGTCACCTCTTTCCGCAGAGTATACGGTAACAGAGCTTGGTGGTAAAGAGGAGAGGGGGGGGTATTAAGTTTTTGAAAAGAAAAGGAGAAAGCTCCCCATCTCTTCTTAGTCAACCAGTGCGAGAACAAAGAACTTCCCTCTCCTTTCCCGCCCCGCACGTGGGGAGGAGGAGGGGGGAGAGAAGCGAATCCCCCACCCCTCCATTGCCGCTGACACGGCCTCCTTCTGCCGCCGATTGGTAGCTGCCTGGCCCCGCTGGGCGGGGAGGGGGAGAGACATCCAATCCAGACGACGGCAGGTTTTCTCCAATGAGAGCGGTGGCCATTGGGCCGCCGCGGGGTTTGGCGCTCTGTTGTCCGAAGCTGGGGACAAGAAGACGGGGAAGATCAGTGAAGTGAACCCGACGCTCGGACAGAAAGTGAAAGGCAGCGCGGTGGGCGGGAAGCCACCGGCGGCAGTAGGTGCTACTACCAGGGAGTGGGCTAGCGAGTAAATGGGCGACGGGCAGAGGACGGGAAAGACACACCCGCTCAGGGGCTCTTTGTCGTGCTTAGGGGCGGGGGATGGGACTCAGGCAAGTTAAGGTGGGGGTTGTCTATAGGCGAGAGGGGCGGGGCTTGCTACGAAGGGCAGCCTGGGAGAGGTGTCTCTGAAAGCCCCTCCTCTAGTTAAATACAGTAGGGCTTGAATTAGAAGGGGTACTAGTAGGGTAAGCGAGGCTTACAGCAAAGTGCGGAGAAATGAGGCTAAATGGGGGGTGGCGACTGAGGGCGTATGGGAGATTAGATTACGGGATGGAAGTGAATCTATGAAAAAGGAAAGGCGTTTTCGAGGAAGCAGAGATTGTTTGGGAACTGAGAAATTTTAATTTTACTTCGTTCAGCACCTTGCACACAACTAAACATTTCTAAATGCTGGGTGTCTTGAATAGTATGTGGTTATTTAGACAATGGGCATCATATGACAAGTTATTTTAAGAGAATTTAGCTTTCAAGAGGTGCAAACTCTTGGGATGTGATGAGAACAAGTGCTGAATGAAAATTATCCTTTGTTCACACTGGTGCTTTCTGAGCCACCTAAATATTTCCAGATCTGTAGGCAAAATAATGTGACTGAACAGGTAGATGGATGAAGAGTCAGAAGCTCATCTGCAGAAGGAAGGAACAGAGCTGATTATTTTTTTAGAGATAAGAATGTATTCCTGTCCTTCTCTACTCAAATCCAACAGAACTCTTTTTCACAGCATTCTATTTTGGGCTGCAGTAATTGTTTGAAAGGAAGGTCTCTTTGTAAATTACTGGGAATTTAAATACTTTAATTGAAACATAATTTTCACTTAATGATAACAAAGGAAAATTATTTCCAAAGGGAGTAGAGAAAGAAGAGATTTAAGTATGCTGAATCTTATGTTATTCTATCTAAGCTGGATATGGAATGGAAGATGAGTTCCCAGTGAAGAAGTTTCAGTATTGTAATTTCCAAAATGTAAAAAATACCAGCTGTGATTCTGTATATACCTATTTGGAAATAAATGTGTTTGAGTGGAAGAGATTGACTTCTGAATAGGGATGAGTAAGCCTATCCTGGAGCAATATTGATTAAAAAACAATAAAATGCTGACCTTTCTTCAGTTCATTTCTGATTTAAATATAAGTATTCAAACTGCTATTATTAAAACACTCAGATTTTGTAAGCAGATTACAATATGGCAAACAGTGACTATTCTAAACAATTTAAACCCATAATGGATTTTTGCTAAAAATATCAATGGAAGTATTTTTTATTTCAGATAATCCCTGGACATGTCTCAATATGTACTGTTTTGGAAGTAACATTCTATACTGTACTATAACAAAACCTCACTTAAGAAGTGCCTCTTAAAGTTTTGTAAATATTTGCATATTTATAAAATTGTTTATTTTGAATTGAACTGTTCATTTAATTAGCAGATTTTTTTTTAAAATGATCTAAAAACTTCCAGTTGATTTATATGATCACTAGCAGCTCTGCTCACTATATGAAATTGATACTGCTGTATAGCTCACTATAGCATATAACCTACAAAGGTTTACTTTAAGAAAGAAAATTATTTTTTGTATTTTTGTGGCTGTAACAGGATTGAAATTTGAAATCATTAAATGATTAAGAATAAAATGAACAAGAACTTTAAAAGTTATATTTACCCAACTAAAAGCAATATTGTGTAGATAAATGCCTTCTGCAATAATTATATTGAAAAAAGTCTTGTCTACAGTGATGTTAAAAAGAAAATACACCCTCTTTGAGTTCTGTGGTTTTATGTAGAACATAGTAAAAATCATCTGGTCCTTAGCAGGTCTTAAAGGTAGGTAAATACAGCCTCAGATGAATAGCAACACATGACATTACACCTTGTGATCATTTTTTTTACAAAAAGAAAGCCAAAATGGAAAGCCATCTGCAAAAAAAACTTAAGTACACCCTTCCTACTTTCATAAGTATGAAGAGGCTATGTAATAGCCAGGTGTTGCTAATCAAGTGCCCTTTATCAATTGATCCTCAAGTATAACTATCTCTATAAAAGTCAAAGTTTTAGAAGTTTGCTGGTTTTTGGCTTTGGAGTTAACAATGCCAAAGAGTACAGACATGAGCAATTATCTGAGATCAGCAATTGTTGCATCCTATCAATCTGAAAAGGGTTTTAAGGACATTTCCAAACAATTTATAGTCCAGCATTCTACAATGATGAAGATTATTCATAAGTGGAAAACATTCAAGACAGTTGTCAATCTTCCTCAGGAGTGGATGTCCAAAATTCACCATAAGATCAGACTGCAAGACTCGGAGGAATTGCAAAAAAATTTGAGAGTTACATCTCAGACTACAAGCATCAGTTTGTTAAATGTTATGTTTCATGACAGTACAATTAAAGACTGAACAAATATGCTTTATTTGGCAGGGTTGCCAGGAGAAAGCCTTTTCTGTCTAAAAGAACATGGCAATATGGCTTAGATTTGCAAAGTTGATGTGAACAAATCATAAGACTTCTGGAATTCTGTCATTTGGACAGAGAAGTGGTGAAGTTATTTGGCCATAATGAACAGTGCGATATTTTAACAAAAACCAAACATAGCTTATCAACACAAACATACCAAGTGTCAAGCATAGTGGTGGAGGAGTGATGATTTGGGCTTGTTTTGCAGCCAGAACACCTGGACACCTTGTCATTGAATGGACCATGAACTCCTCTGTATATTAAAATATTCTAAAGTCAAATGTGACCTGTCAGCTTGACTGACACTGGGTCTTGCAATAGAACAATGATCCCAAGCACACGTGCAAATCTATAACAGAATGATTGAAAAGAAAAGAATCAAGTGTTACAATGGCCCAGTCAAAGTCCAGACCTCAACCTGATTGAAATGCTCAAGAGAGCTGTGCCTAAAATAACCACAAATCTTAATGAACTGAAGTAATATTTTAAAGAAGAGCAGGTCAAAATTCTTCCACAACAATGTGAAAGGCTAAGAAAGTAATGCAGAAAATGATTACTTCAAGTTATTGCTGCTAAGGTGTTTATACAAGCTATTGAATCATAAAGTGTACTTAGTTTTACACAACTGGCTTTTTCATTTTGGCTTTCTTTTTGTAAAATAAATGATGACGGTGCAAAATGTCATGCATTGTTGTTCAACTTAGGTTGCATTTACCTACTTTTAAGAACAGCTAAGGAACAGATGATTTTTTATTATGTCCTAATACATAAAACCATAGAACTCAAAAGTGGGTGTGCTTTCTTTTTCAGACAATTGTTTATTGCCTTGTATTTGTTACAGTGAGGAAATTAATGACAGATTTTCTGGCCTATGTGTATTTCATATACAACTTATTTGAAAATGTAAATAGAACTTTATAATAAAATATCAGCTCTTTATTGTAGTATCCCTTCACATTAGCATCAGTTAAGTACTGTTTGGAGTGGGATGACTATAATCAAATAAATAATATGTGTTTTAATATACTAATTGGTCCACTGTTACTGTTTTTGTACAGAACTATATGAATTGTCAGTATTTACTGATACAGTATAATCAAAATTAAATAAGATATGTCCTTAAGAATTTTGAACATTACTAATGCATATAAGGCTGGGTCTCATGCATCAGGAATTTTCAAACTTATTCTTTGCTTTTTTTACTTTTACAGTTTTATCTCACTACATTACAAACACACTTGATAAGCATAAAATATATTTTGTCAAAAAATGAAATACCAAAACCCAAGTAGAGAACCAGCAACCTCTAAGGATTGCTGAGTACCCTTTTGTGCTGGGCATTCTGCTTAAAGTTGCTGAAGCTGTAGTTCATTAAAGTCCAGGAGCACCACAATAGATTGAAATAAAATGAGTTAAGTAGCTTTGGTTTTCAAATCTACTATAATTCTTTTTAAATGTTTGCTTTCATTTATCAGAGCAATGGAAAATATTAATTTTCAGCCTTTTTGAGTGACAAATGCTGTCATTGTCAAAATAGAGCAATATGGATTTTAAAAATAATTTTTTATTTGCCTAAATTCAATATCCAGCAGTTGCAGGGATATGGCTAAGTTCGCTGAAGTGAATACCAGAAATATTTGCAAAGGGAGGGAGCAATAAAGAAGAAGTAAACTGACCAAAGCAGATAACATTATTATAATGTAAAAAAAGGGTTTTTGATAAAGTTTGGAGAAATCAACTTAAAAAAAATATCTGGAATACAACCACAGTCTGTAATAATTTTTCTGAAGGAAAATAATCAACACTGAATTTATTTGGCCAGAACATTAATTGCCTGATTAAGTTTTCATTTTTGTACATCAAAATAGTGGCATTTATATGTTTGGGTGGAATAACTTGATGCATGCATTTTTATGCAGTTTTCAAAATTTTAATACATAAATTAGCATAAATTATATCAAATCATTTTTATTGCCAACTTTCTATCACTAAGCAGTGGCAGTTGATCAGAGGTTCTGAGACTTTCCTTTTAATCAGCAAGTTCTATGGCATGAAAAAACTGAAAATTCCTAACCTGCCTGTACTTTTTTAGGTAATGGGGTATAAATAAGAATATGTTGACTTTCCAGAAAGTTCCTTCATTAGAGAATCAAGCTTGCTTAACTAGAATGAGCATATTGGGGTAAAAATGAGTGGTGCTTATGGTAAACTGACCAAACTAAGGTAAGGCTCACTGAAATCATACCCAACAAACATTGTATATGAAAAGGATATGATTAAGATTGGCAACCTAGTTGCTTATTATGTAGAAGATTGCATGGAATACAAGAGAATAAAGGCAAAATAGAATAAATTAATGTGTATAAAACCAAGAGAAAAAGGAAGAATGTCATAAATCTAAATGAAAGTGTCCTGATATTTTGAAGTTGGATTGATGATTGTGGAAGTGCATTTAGATTTAATAATAAAAAGCAATTAAGATACATA